AGGCTGGATTCACTAACTGTGTTTCATACACAGGAGGAAAATAATGCACCAAGGAGCAAAATAACTTGCCCACATGTATTTAACACATTAGCATTAGAGCCAAGGATATTAACATCTATTTAAGCCTTGGCATTCCCCTCTGGGTTTTCCACTGACTTTGACCCTCTTAAGAGCGTGAGGAACTTAAACCTGTGTTTTGAAGTGCCTGAGCTCCACCCTCTCTCACACCAGCATCCACCCTCCAGCCCCACAGCAAGCAGGAAATATATTTAATCCCCGCCAATGCCACAAAAGCTCAGGCATGCCTGTGCTACTAACAGCCCGTACTGGGGGCTATTCCTGCCTGCGTATTAGAAATAACTGTCACAGCCACACAGGGAGTTAGGCAGCTTTCCAGGACAAACTACACCTCTTTCTCAGCCCTGCAGGAGAGATGTTTTCTTCCGTACTGCAATTTTTAGCTGTGTTTCCTAAAGAAACTGGGTGTACACAACTGCCACCATCTTTCAGTCTCTCCCTAACAGTTTTTGAGCCCTTCTGCCAGTTGCAGCTCAGCTCCAAGAGGCAGGAGCTGGGTCATCCCTGCAAGCTTTGTGAAGATAAGCAGTTTTGCAACAAGCAAGTAATCTGCCAGGGCTGCTCTCAAGCCAAAGGCTGTGGGGTGAACACAACACAACCTTTATTAGACACCAGAGGATCCACTGTGGCCTGCTGCTCCCTTCCCTTCAGCCTCTGAGCATGGGCCAGCACAGGAATTGCAATTGCTAAGAGGAACGAGCAATGCTGCATGCTGGATGCAGACAGAAACCCTTGACTGGCTAATTAGTGCAGGATAATTAGCACTTCATCTTCACCGCCACAAAGGCCACGCTATTCAGTGATGCAGGAGGAGACGGGCAGCGACTGCAAGGGAAGGGGTACTAACCACCACACCACGCCGAGGGGGGAAGACGGGGAACCTAGGGGATAAAATAGCCCAGGAATGTTTTGGGCTTAGGAATTAATGAAACACATTGTTAGAGTTTGCTACTCAGGTTTCCCCTAATTCACAGAAATTAGAGTATTTTCTGCTGGAACATGGGTTTCACGAGCCCGAGACTGTAACCCCAACCAGGAGCAATTACACCCACCCAGCGGCATTTCCGACTCAAACCCAGTACAGGAGTGACAGGGGAAAAGCCATCTCGAGCTGTCAGCTGGTGCTGAAAAGGTCCCTTTCACATAGGGCACTATACTGGAAGACAGAGATTGCCCCCCCATGTGCGTTTGTCTGTCTGGCAGGGAGGAAGGAGGGCGCCCCTGGCAAAACTAATCCCAAAGGACTGGAGAGCCAGACATCGTCCATCATCCATGAAGAGTCACTAACACACATCTTCATTGTGCCCTTCTCCGGGGTCCGTTTGGGTGAGCCCCCAGCTGCTGCCTCCCTCCGGGCTCAGCGCACGGCCATGGACTGGATCTGCAATCCACGCATGCAGATTGCATGCATGCAGATTGCATGCTGGATCTGCAATCCACGCATGCTCCTGCGGGGGTTATGGAAAACAGAGGCTTCCACAGATACATCTAGTGGAAAACACCGGTGTTAATGAACAGAAAGGGAGTTGTAGAGTAAAGACAGTTTCTAACATCCTGCCTGCAAAACCACCTCCCGGACAAGCCCTGTAGCCAGGCAAGTGCCCAGCAGCATCCCCATGTCTGGGCCAGGCTCGGGTCCTGCCAAGGGTTCATGTCACACTTGCCACGGCAAGCACCGGCAGCGCACCCGTGCTCAGGGCATGCTCGCACCCCAGCAGGGACAGACAGCCGGCAGCCAGGAGAGCGGGGACCAAGGCTCACAGCTGGGGGTGCAGGGTTTGCACAGAGTGTGCCTGTCACACAAGTCTGCCAGCACTCACACGCTCCCTTCCAAGCATCTAAAGAGCCGCCGCCTTCCCCACGTGGCACGTTCTGCTGTCCCCAGCAAAGATTTAACCGTACAATCCCTTCGCATCCCCCAGAAAGGCTGGCTTGGCCAGGGATTTATTGCCAAGATACCAGGCACCTC